TGATCGGCGTAGAGGAACAACATGATCGGGGTCAAGTTCAGTAAGGCAACGGACCCTATGGGGGTCATTGGCCGCCGCCACCATTTCATCGAGGTCGATGTCATTCGTGTCAAACTTGGTGAGCGAAATTGTATCTGTAAACTCAGAATTTTCACTGTCGCCGTCCGGAACTCGGAAGGACACCGCGCCGAGTGGTGCTGAAGTGTGGGTTGGTGGGTTGGTTGGTGGTTCCGTTGGTGGTGGATTGGCAGGAGAATTGGGTCGAGGATTGTGGTGATGGTCGTTGTCGGTGTAGTGACTGTCGTTCCATGTACCCCAGGTGTCATCAGCATCGGGAGTGGGGATGTAGTTCGGATTCGATGGGTTCGCAGCTGGTCGGAGTATGACTTCACGGCCTCTGGATCTGTGACGTGGTGTCGCGGAACGTGGACGTGGGCGAGATCGATGACGTCGAGGGACCACGGGAGAGCGGCGTCGTGGTGGGGAGCGTCGTCTGTATGGAGATGGGGTTCTGCGGCCCTTGTCAGGTTTTGTGGATGATCGATGACGAGGGAGAGGAGAACGAGGTCGCTCTGCTCGTGGAGGAGAATAGCGATGGCGATGAGAATGTACCGAAGGTCGATGGGAACGTGGTCGTGGAGTCCTAGATCTTGGTCGGCGTGTTGGGGATGATGGAACTGGTAGTGGGTGAGGAGGAGCAATGGCTGGGGCTTGAATAATGCGAAGGTCCGGAACGTCAGGTTCGGTAGGTCTGGCTTTCGGTGCGGGTGGAGGTGTGGCTGTCAGTGGTGGCACGGGCGTAGGTGGTGGTATGGGTGGAATAGGGTTCGGTGGAGGTCCATCTTGTTGGAGAAGTAGCTGACGTTGTTCTTGGGCCCGTTGAGTATCCATGATCACCTGTTGCTGAGCTAGGATAAGTCGAACCGATTCCGCAAGTTGTTGTGTAGTGGAACCCAATGCAACCAGTTCGGGTGGCACGGATGACGTCGGTGCTGCCGTGGGTGCTGGTGGTGTAGTCGAAGAAGGGGCTTTTGAAGCTGGCCTGCGCGGTCGATCCATTCTTTTGTCAGAGCGAGGTCTGGGAGCTGCCTTAACTGCAGGAGGCCGTGGAAGATGTTCATCAGGAGAAACCATCAATGCGTTCGTTTGTAATGGAGGTTGAATGTGATGGGATGGGTAAGGGGAACTTGGCAAAGGAGTCGGTGGCATAGTCGATGTAGGTGGTGGGGTCGACGTAGGAGATGAAGTCGGTGGAGAAGGCCAGGCAGGTGGAGCGGTGGGTGCCGAAGGAGATGGGAAAGTCGAAGGAGCGGTGTGCGCCATTGTAGGTTCGGAGGCCAAAGGTGCAGGCATGGTGGGTACGAGCTGTGGGCCTGGTACTGCATGAGGAGCCGGAGACAATGAGGTAAACGGCAACGATGTTGGGGATGATGTAGACGGCATGATCGAAGCTGAAGAAGACCATGTAGGATGCAAGGCTGAAGGATGTCCAAATAGATGTACGTTTTGTGATGATTGTGGCCACGTCGGAGGTGCGTTCGTAGGCTGCGGTGGAACAGGCCATGACGTTGGCGGAGGGTTCCACGGATGCATCGCTTCAGTAGATGAAAACAAAAGTGAACAATCACATACAGGATTCAGTCCCTAACTGCCTAAGATGTCGTGCAATTATTCCCTGCACCGGGACCGTGGTCAAGTCGTGCCGCAATGGCATAAAACAGCTTCCAAATTCCAACGAATTAGATGCACAAAATGTTTCACCTCACCAAAAACCAAAGAGACCACACCTGCAGGAAAAGGACATGCCTGTTGCCTTTTGTCGTGAATGTCATGTTGAACTTCAAATGCGCAAGCTGCAGTGATAAAAAAGTTTCTGGCAATTCAGAACAGCTTCACAGTTGAAGAAACGCATCGGCGAGAAATCCCCGGGACCACAAGATCAGCGGGACAATCTCAAAAGGCTGGAAAACCGCAAGGCTGATTGTTGCCCTTTACTTAGACGAATTACTAAGTTAAAATGTGTGAATTCCGAATTCAAGTCTGTCAACACTCACCCTGAAGAGGGTTGCCTCCAACGGCTCCATGGCACCATGTCGGAGCCACCATGGAAATCACACTAGACAAGAATGGATCATTATATGATCCGGCAGGAACTGAATCCTGAAACATGCAAACCAGCCTAGATCGTTAGATTAGTAAAGGAGCCAAATGAGGTACTTCACGAAAACGATGTAGGGCATCCAATATTGTCAAACGAAGTCATAACCAGATTCCATAGAGTTTTAACCAGCATGTTGAGAATCCACAATAATGTTTCGGCGATTGTTTCCCAAAAGGACCCACAGTTCGTCGGCGACATGATCTCGGCGAAAATAGATCAAAAAACATAATACTGTCGGCGATGTGGTTTTCGGCGAAAATCTGAGGAAAGTTCTGATGCATGTAAATGTCAAAATTGATTCCAGATTGTGACAACAGTGCAGCAAATTGTATAATATTGTGGTTGGGGTTCTTAGCTTGGCCCCTTGCTATGTCCGAAAAAAGGCAGGTACGTGGAGTTGATCAGACTCCATATCCTAGTCAACTGCATGGAGCTTCGTTGGCGACAGCCATGCAGCGACCCTGTCGCCCCCTGCAAACTAGTGAAAACCAATAAGAAGTTTTACATCTGTTCAGATGGTACACACACACACACACCCGGCAGAGCCGGGAAAACCCTGAAAGGCAAGAGGAAGAAAAAAGCGGACACACGACGGGCAGACGGCCAAAAACAGCGCAGGGGGGGAGGGGAACAGACGGACCTCCGGAACCAACCTACACGGCGAAACGGACCTGACCAAAACAGCGCACACACCTAAACCCCACGACACATTACGGAGAGGCACGCGGGGAAAATTAGGGACCAAATGGGGGACTAGTTGATGACAAGAAAACCAAAACAATTAATTAAAGACAGGACTCAGTTCCTAACTACCTGAAAGTCGTGCGTTATTCCCTTTCTGGGACCGTGGTCAAGTCTTGCCCCAATTGGCATAAACGGCTTTCAAGTTCCAACGAATTAGGTGCACAATATGTTTCACCTCACCAAACAACCATCAAAAGAAAAAGACCACACCTGAAAGTCGTGTGCCTGCCAGGATCCTTGTGCATGTTGTAATGCCACTGTCATGACAAAAGCTGCAAGCGCAAAAGGAGGTTTCTGGATGTTCGGCACAGCTTCACTCAGTAGAAATGCATTCCACGGGGTTAGCCGGAGCAGCGAGAATCTCCAAAAACGGTGGATAACAGTAAGGCCCACTGTTGCTCTTTACTTAAACGAATTACTAATTCAAAAGTGTAAATTCGGAAGTCAATTCAGTCGACATTCACCCCAAACAGGGTTGCCTCACTTGGCCCTATGGCACCATGTCGGACTCACCATAGGAATCACACTAGATAAGAATGGATCATTGTAGTGATCCGGCAGGAACTGAATCCTGTAACATGCAGATTAAATGAGAAACAAACTAATCCACGACGTATCCTACGAATAATGGAAGTTCTCCTGAATGATCACCATGTCCTGAATCGACATCAAAAAGAATAGAATAAGGATCGAAAAGTTAAGTAACCAAAAGTAATGTCATCGGCGATGTCGTCGGCGAAGATTACCCGCAACCAATATGCATCGGCGACGATGTTGTCGGCGACCATGTAAAAACATGTAAAATAAGTTGTTTAAAAAACGGCATGGTGGTTCTCGGGTTAGCCACGTCCCATCGCGAAGAATATTGCAGGTACGTTTTCACCCCCAGACTGTCTGGTCTTCATTGGCCAGGACAGACAGTGATGGGTTCCTGGCCCCCTGCATTATTTAAAAAGGGAGAAGAGGGAAGAAAAAAGAAGGAAGTTTTACATCTATCCAGATGTTACACACACATTTATGTGTATATATATAATATCTATCTATCTATCTATCTATCTATCTATACATATATATATACAGATCATTCAGAGACGTCGCAGTGCAGCCGTTACGTAACTTCTCCAGATTTGCTCATGGAGGTCTGGTGGACTCCTATCGGCCTATCGGCCTGGGCCTAAACTGGTTGATGGTGCAATAACCATCTTGAAATATTAGCCAATGGGAAGGGAAGGATGACATCCCATATATTATGAAAGCATAAGGAAAATAACAAATGTTCCAAACCACCAACCAGATTGTCTCATTAACCATTATTAACCATTATTAACCACCATTAACTTCCATGTTCCAAACCACCAACCAGTATATAAACGTTGTCAACATCCAAAATGGAGACCCATTTTATCTACAAGGCACTACGGATCCATCCATGTCATCCAGGGTGTCCACCAGTTCCGCCAGGTGGTCGTTCAGGTCATTCACCTCCCGCCCCGGCAACGTCGCTGGAAACTCCGTAAGAACTCAACGAGATCTAACGAGGTTTTAGTTCGCTGGGAAAGTCATACAACTGGCATATTTCCCGTGTTGCTATGTTTGACTGCCGGAGGGTAATACATGTAATACTAAACACTGACCAAACGTTCGCTAAGAGATCACCTGCAATTACCACCTCAACGTGCCTGAAGGTACCTAATAAAAATCAGCGTTTGTAGCACGAATTTGGTGTTTTCTAAGTCACTGGGTCAACTGAAGGTCCCTTAAAAAATCGGGAATTTTCTAAGCCCCTAGCGGGACAATGACGAACAGTTTGCCAACATGGCCCACAAAAATACGTGATTTACCTATTAAAGATGGTGATTTTCCATAGCGAACTATTGGTTTACCGGAGGGTATCTGATATATGTGTAGATATTTCAAAACCACCAGCCAGGTGTATCCACATGCTGTTTGCTTAGATGGCTTATTTATGCTAATTTTCATCTTGTATCGTCATTGCTGCAAATTATACATAGTTTCGTTGGCTCTACACTCTAGCCTGAGCCAACCATACACCGGAAAAAATGACGGCGTGTCCACTGGCGCCAGCAATTTTTTACTGTGATGTCTTCGCCTCCGGCTTTGCTGAGCAAAAGACCCCAGGCCGGCTTAACTACTGCCTTGACCAAAAGGGGACAACGCGATCAGCGATATATGGTCTGAACTGGGCCCCCCAAACAAGTAAAGAAACAAATAGAAACCCATCAATTCACCCGCCAAAATGGTCAATTTTTGACAGATCTCTCTGTATTTAGATGCCCCATGGCTCTCTTAGACTCAGCCAAAATTAGCTCCAGCAGCACAGGACGCAGACCGGAACTCAAATGAAGCAGCCCAGACTGGCAGCTCACTCAGGTTCCCATTTCGTGTTCCAAGCTTTCTCGAGCTTCTTGATTTGGTCTTTCCACACATTCTCATTGTTCCACATGCTCACCTCATTGCTCCCGGGGGCCGGAAACTGTGTGGAGATATATAGGGAATGAAATGAAACACAAAACACGTTCTCGAAATAGATTGCTTTATCATCTCAAAAACCAGCAATGCTGCACGGAGAATACAGCATAGCTGACTGTGGATCAATCAAAACGTAGCGAATAGATGGGAATAGTGGGGCATGTGACGGTCTACACTGTGGCCCAAATCATGAAGAACTTGACACTTCCAGAGTGATGCTGATATGCTGGATGCTTTCAGCTTTAATGACCTTCAACGCAAGCAATGACCCGCCAACAGCAAGAATGACCAGAATGACCAGCCTTTTGTGATCCGATTGGTGCCCGCATTTTTGAGAGCAAACAACAATCTCAAAGATTCATGGTTTTATCAAGTTTTAGCGTGTTTTATCATCTAAGATGTACCACCACCACCACCACCCTAAAAGAAACATGAAGAACATGAACAAGTGCGTTTGTTCGCTGGCTATGTCCACCAAGTTCTGGCTCTTACCGTCATTCCCCTCCCGGGTGGAACCAGCACTCGAGGACCAGGCGGACTGTCGCTTAAACAATTCCGTGGCAAAGTCATAAATGTCCCTGTCCTGACAAATTTGGGTGGGTTTATGAGGGGAGACCAAATGCCCATGGGTGGAAACCAACCCAGGAAACAAGTATAGTAGCCCAGTAAGCCACGAAATCATACGAAGTCAGGGTTTCTTTAACAAAATGCTGTTCTTTCTTATAGTTTCATGACACTTCCCCTGAGCAACTTACTTACTCCCGAAACCTAACTATAGCAATTTAGATACATAAGAAGTGCGACATAGTACAGAAAAACATGCCAAACCCCAGCAAATCCCATAAACATCTGAAACAAACAAACATCGAGATCTGTTTCTTGCAACCCAATGGTATACCCGGTCACTTGTTCCCTGACCCAGCTCCAGTCCTTGGCAGTGATGTTCTTCGCCAATTCAAGGTCCGCCTTGTTCCACTTCTCGGGTTTTTTGGGTGGCACCTGCAGAAGGCTCGGGGTCGGTGGACCATGCTGAAGCCATCTCCAAAATTCTTTCCAACGCATCCTAAACACAAATAGAGAAAGAGAGAGAGAGAGAGAAAGAGATGATAAGAGATGTATTCAATTACATATGCAAATATAGTAATCAGTAATAATAATAGTCATAATTTGAGTCTTAATACTAATAAGAACTGCCATTAATAATAATACCAATAATAATGGCTGATATGGCACCTCCAGCAGGGTGTCACGGGCCAAAGTTCCCATCCCTTCGGGGCTCTTGCCGTAGAGCCAGGCGAGGGAAGCCTGAAACCCAGCTGGGCTCATCCCATGAAACATGGCGTTTTTCATGGGAAAATATGGGAAAATCCATTATAAATAAAAGGATGTTTTAATATAGGAAAATCAACTAAATTCATGGAGGTTATATGGGAAAACGATGGAAAACGGAGGTTTTAATCCGAAAATCAGCTCTCAATGGAGTGTTTTAATAGGAACATCAAATATATGGGGTGGATTTCCATTGCCACGTTTGATTACCAGAGGCCAAATCCATGGCTCCATCACTTTCTTCATGCTTTGACGATTTTTATAATCCAGTCAATTCGGGGTAAGCCCCAATTTCTATCGAGGCCTAGCTGACCTCTGGACAACCGAAATGATGGTGGACATTCCATTAAAAAATGAGATGGGGCAATGGCATTGGTCATGCTTGGTCAGGAAGCAATCCAACAATGACTTATAGAAAGACCCATCATTTAGTTCCAAAAAGTGGGCAAGGATTTAACTCAGTCTGCACAGCAATAAAGTTCTATGTACATTACATCAACAAACATGGGTTTCGGGTTTGCATGGCTAATTATGGATACTCTGACAACTGTTTTGAAGCTCGGCGCTTACAGTCCACGGAGGGAAAAAGAGCACGCACATAATATCAAAACAAGACCCATGAGTCAGGATATTTTCCACATCTGGATAAGGCCAGCTTGGGGCAGTCACCCTTCTCGCCAACTATCACTATCATCCCCGTGCTGTGTGCTGAGGGGCGAGGGAGCCGGGCAAATCCTCATAGATTCCGACCTTGGGCACATCAGAATATACGGACGGAGAAAAAGATGCAAACATCTGTGCTTCCCTCCTGTCTATCTATCTATGTATCTATCCATCCATCCATCCATCCATCCATTCATCCATCCATCCATCTCTCTCCATCGCCATCTCCATCTATATCTCTATCAAATCTGTGTATCTATATCTGATTAGAGTTACCATGGTGAAACTTCCATGTCTTTTTTGGGACCCCTGTAGCTGCAGCTTCGCCGGGGTACGAAATCAAAGTGGCTCACCAAAACCCGCTTGGCCTTTGCCACATCGCAATTGCCTTATGGTTGAGCCATGCATAGGCTGCATAGGCATTGGCCCATAGGCCCCAGCAAGGGGCTTAGTCAAACGACAGGAAGGGAGGTGGCCGAGTGCATGGTGAGGAATGGAGGTGATAACACCCCATGATACGCAGAATTGATAGTGCAAACCACCGTGATAAGAACCACAAGCTAGCTAATGATTACTACCATAATCGTTATGTCAAAACTTGAGAACAAAGAAAAACAACTTGGAACAACACATAATTACAGTAATTAAAACCATGTGAAACCAATATTATAACGATGTCAGCAGTGGGTAGCCCTTGCTTGATAACTCCCTCAATAACTGGATGTCATCACACATGGCCTGGGAACTCCCCGAGCTAAAATGGAGCTTTGTATCTGGGAAAGTCAGCGAACTAAATGAGGTTTGATTACGGGAGCTTACCCTCTGGTAAACTAACACAACTATGGGAAATAACAATTTTCAATGGGTAAATCCACTATACATGGACCATGTCCAATAGCTATGTTAAATTACCGGAGCTTAACTAGAATCCCAAGTCAAACATCTGTGGGCCCATTTTGGGATGGTTTCCCAAAACGGCCGGTGTAGTGGTTACAATCTGCCCAAAATTCAAACGGACAAAAAAAAAGATGGAAGAACCAGTCCCAAAACGTTGTTTGATGTTGATGACTGACAAAGCTGAGGAAAAAGGATCTTGATGGACACGGCTTTGTCTGAAAAAGGCTTGCCAAGTTTGTCTGGTTGGTGGTATACCTACCCCTCTGAAAAATGATGGAGTTCGTCAGTTGGGGATGATGACATTCCCAACATATGGAAAGTCATAAATTTCCAAATATTAACCATATATGTCCATATGTTAACCATATATTTATGATTAACCGTCAGAAAATTCCATGGTTCCAAACCACCAACCAGTTGTTGCTTGACCGACTTGTCCTATTTGTTAAAGAAACCATTTCATTGGATTAAACTTGTCGTTGACCCCACTGCCGCCATTGGGGAAAACAATTATCTTCTGTATGAGTCTTGCTTCTTGTTATCCAAAACATCCCATTACACCATCATAAGAAAGCGATCACTAACTCACATAAGTTCACTAAAAAGTCAATCGTTTGCTTGCTAAAACATATCTGGGCAAATTATAGTAGTTCACTAACCTGACATAAGGCCATTCTGAGATGGTTGTCCTTATTAACCATGATTCCAGGGCTCAGGAGAACAGAGGTTGCTATAATTTGCCCAGGTCATATTAAACGTAGCCCATTTGTTCATCATTTCTATCCCCATTCATCCCCATTCTATGATGGTTCAATCCCGAATTTTGGGTCAGCTTCACTGGGACTCAGCTCAGCGTCCTAGGTAATGGCCATATTCGCAACAGCCCTGGATCACCTGGAGCGCTTCAGAGAGGGCAGCGGAACCAGGAGGACCTAAAGACCACCATGGACCGATGGACCATACCATTCCACATCATTTCCAAGACATCAATTGTTTTGATCATGTTTGATCTCTCTTTATCTGCGACTGTTGGGAAAGGTTTTGGATGCTTTCGGTGCTTCCGAAGTTTCAGGGGCTGAACATGTTCCTATCATGAATGCTGTGCTGTTCCATGTTCCCATGCTGGCTAACCAGCACAAGGGCCGATGAAGCACCAGGTTCCAATCACCAGGTTCCTCACCGTGGAGTTCCTCCCGCCTTACGCCAGGGGATGCCTTCGGCCTGGATTCTGGCCATTTGAGGCTCTGTCATGTTGCCATAGGCTGTGTCACGTTCGGCAATCAGGAAGTCCTGGCCCACTTCAAGGCATTGAAAAATGGGTGCACTCGAGAAGAATGACAACTACATTTGAGTGTTTTGTTTACCCTTTTTGATGAAGACTTTGATACAGTTTCCTAGCTTCTAAATGGACTTAACTAGCAATGATGGCTCCATCACTCTGCACCGTTGGGCTGTGAGCATCAAAATTGTTCCCACCTGGTTTTAGTATGAAATCTACAATCTGAAACAGCACCCTTCAGTAGCTTTTGCAAATGATCTTCTCAAACAAATGGCAATCATCAGTCAGTTTTCGGCTGCAAAAATGATGATTTTAGTTAGGCGGGAAAACAAATATCTAATCATCATTCATCATCTCTAATCCTAATCTAACCACGATATAATCTAAAAATTTTACTATTTTACAATTATTCTTTGGCTGGAATCCTCTAATCCTCTGGACCCAAGTTGACTCACGGCACCCCCTCTCCGTGAAGTTCTCGGGCGAGTGATCTGGGCTCAGGCTGTAGAACACCGACCTGCGGTGGTTGGACCACCAGCTGCTTGGTGGTTTCTTACATATTTTTGTTGGGTCTAATCCCTTCCAATATTAAAGACCCCCTAAACGAAACCATGGTTTAGTAGGGAATTTCCACTTAATTGGGACCATGAAATTGGGGTATTTAATTTTAGGGTGATGGGTTTTTTAATATGTGCTTCTTGTTTTTTAAATATATATAACCTATGTGTAGAATGTTTTTGCGGCTTTATATGTGTATATATATACATATATGTGTGTGTATGTATATGTATGTTCTTAACTATTGTTTAATGTTGTTTACCTATTTGGAAAATGTGAGCCAATTGAGAACTGAGGATAACCCCTCGAAATATAGTTGAACATGTCCAAAATGTATTGAAAACACCAAGCAGCTATTGTCTATTCATAATGGATCGGTTGATGGGAACATTTACAAGTTGCCAATGGACCCACAGAATTAATCCAAAATCTTACCATCCAATTTCTTCAGCATTTAACCACCAATCTCTCAGAAATCGATGCGGAACATGTGGGATTTTTACATGTTGCCAACATCGATCCAACCTGGATTCTTGGTAAAGTCCTGTAAAGCAGTTTTTTTTTCTAAATGTGCTCTTTGGAGGTTTTTAAACATCACTTTCTTGTCATATACCCAATAGTTGGAGATCATATACCCAATAGATAATAGACTGTTCAAGTACCTGTTGGAGATCACATACCCGTTGGGTGATGCGTCAGTGGATTCAGCCCCATCTCCTCAAGATGTCCTGACAAATGTAAAGTGAAAAAAAAGGCCCATTCAGGGTGGCATAGAACGGTTCATAGCTTGTTTCTTGCATTACATTCAAATGATCTTGACAAACTTATATGCACAGAATTAAAAAATGTATGTATATATATATACACATAATACACACATAATATGCACATAATAGCTCTCTCTCCATTATTCATATGTATTTATACACAAGATGCACCAGGGAAATATGTTCATAATCCATGATGAGCCCAAAATGATGACCATGTCTGGCCTCAGCCTCTCCACTGGATCGCGCAGAATGGTGGTGATGAGCACCCGCTTCCCAGGGCCCCACAACAAAGGCAACCACTGAAATGTCATGGCCTCCAGTGGCGAACGCATGGAAAAACAAGGGGATGTTAACCATCAAATATCGACATATAATGAGGATATCATGGGTAATTACCAACAATATGATACAATATGGTCTGCTTGGATTTGAGCCATCAAACACTTGGAAATCCAATGAAACCCACTGCTGAATCATCCTGTTGCTCATTCAATAAGTGCCATGAAATCAGTTTCCTGAGATGGTTGATCCTATGGAAAATCTCCATTTTGTTTGGGGTAAATCATCGAACAAAATGGCCCATCTATGTATCATAGCAAAGTGTGAAATCAGGGTACAGTACAGATCTCCATCAAAAGCAAAAAACTTCAGGCTCCCTGGCCTGAAGAATGATTCTTTTGATCCAAGTTTCATTATTTCAATCCCAATAATATATATATATATATATGTTTAAAATTAGATGCCCTATCAATCCCTATCATCTCTTAAAGTGCCCCTGGGGTTTCAAACTCTCAGCCTGGCTGTGCAGAAACCGCAAGGCGCTGAACCACGACCCTTGGTATCCCTTGGGGGCTGAAACAAACATCCCACTTCAGGGTGCATCCCAGTCAGTAAATGAAATTAAATGAACAACCAGGTATTCTGGTTGGTGGTATACCTACCCCTCTGAACAATATAAAAGTCAGTCGGGATGATTCTTCCCAATATATGGAGAAAAAGAAAATTTTCCAAACCACCAACCAGATATATATATATAGCATACCCCCAGTGAGGCCAACGGGCTATACATAGGCTATACATAGGCTACATGGTTTTTGTGTCGGCTGAGTCACTGAACTCATCAGCGTCTCATAACGCATCCGATCTGGCCATAGGTTCCTGAGCACTTGGCCCCTTTCAACACGATTTTTTGGGCGAACATGACGTCATAGGCCACTGGAAGTCTCGGGGTGCCTATGTTTAAACAACTTGAACAAAAAGAAGAAAAGTCGCATCATCAAAATCAAAACTTATCAAACATACTAGCTGAACAACACATTGCTAAGTGTAAATATGAACAAGAGTGAGCTGTGATACGCCAACACGCAAACCATGAATCTGCGATTCTCTGATGCCTGCCAAGAATTGGCCTTCTTCCTAGAATAATTAATTAATCTGAATTAAACATCCCCTAAAACCATGGCAAATCGTAGTGAATGTCCACATCATTCAGACCATAGAACGGGGGTGTAACGAATATGAATGGGGGCTGGGATTATACATTCACATCATATCCATCATTATCAATATGCCACCATAGTTGATTATGTCATATGGTTGGTTGCTATATAAACCACTAATATTCATTAATATTAACATCCATTCCATAATCTTTAATATATTACATATCATTAACATTCATTAATCTAATATATATATTAATATATAAACCATTAACATCCGTTAATATCATTCTATACTTCCATTCGGGGGATGTTCCCTCAGTGGTCCGGTCGACCTCCGTAAAAGCTGTGGATGGAAATCCTGCAGCATCCTGCACCACCGTCTGTCTGACGATTTTTCATATGAAATTCTATGTGATACCATGGGTTGTTTTAACATTTCAGTATCTATAATTGACATTAGTTCCATCTCGATTTTTCTATTTTTTGTGTTGCATTAGTTCATATTCTTTCACTATTCAACATCTAAACAGGTTGGCTTACACCCGCTCGACCTGTGCCATGGATCTTCAGGCTGCTCAGATCCGAAGAATTCACGCGATCTGTGAAGTTCTTCCCTGTGCCACAGCGTGCGCTGTATGCGTGCGCGACGCAACGCGAAGCATAGAGGTGTCATGGTCAAGCGACATGTAACTCCATACTTAAGTTGGTTTATAGCTCCAATGTCACGTGCAAAGTAGTTAAGTCGGTTTATAACTCACATGGCGGTGCCCCCCATAGTTTAAAAGTTGGTTTATAACTTACATGGTGTGCCCCATAGTTAACTTGGTGAACATGACGCCAACAACTATGGTAACTATATGGTTTATTTTTCTCTCTCTCTCTCTCTGTATATATAGTTAATAAGGGTTATAAACTAGCTTATCACTGGAGGGGCGCAGTTTATGGTTGTCCCACCATCGTGAATGGGATTCCTGAAAAACTGGTCTTTTCAGACAATCCCTGTGGATTCATTTTCCCATACCCGAACTGATGCGAATAGGGAATCACCAAAATGGATGGTTTATTTCACGGAAAGTCCCGATCTAAAATGGATGATTTGGAGGTACCCCCCATTTCAGAAAACCCCCAAATGTAGATATCCCGCCCTTGACACATGTTTTTTTGGCACATGTTATGCAAAAATATATTAATATCATAATTGCAAAAGGTTACGTCTGCGCACATTCTCCAAGAACCACGTGCCCGTTTGCAGTGAATGCTTGTACAACCTGAAAATAAATACATAAACAGGTCCATCCAAAATAATGTAACGTGGTAAAAGCAATAATAAACCACCCACGCATTTGGGAATGGTTTATACAACCTATTTATGTTGAAATTGCGGATGGTTTATTATTGTTTTGCCAACATTATTCCTCCAATTTTTGAGCTATGCAACATTGCTATATTATTATAATCTTTAGGCATTCTTGTGTAGACAGCCCACGCTCCAGTAGTTCCTGAAGCCTCCTGCAACCAAACCAGACTACCAGACTGCAACCTATTAATCAATTAAAAACCAAACAAATTTTAGGGGAACCTTCAAATTTCATGACAAAAAAAATGTTTAGGCTCACACTTTCAAGTTGTTTAAGTCATGACAAAATTCCTTGGTTTTACCGGCGAATTTATCCATTTCCTGGCGGCACCTTGGATGGCAGCCTCCATGACCAATAAGCCGCTGTCTTTGGTGCAGCTCCATGGCATCTTCAAGCAGGGCATCTGGGTGGGCACGACGCCAGTTGGAGCCGGATTCTACAATCGGGTGAAACACACTCGCTGATTTTGTTTGGATTCTGAAGGTAAATTACCAACCAAGGGGGGTTGACCATCCAGGAACAATTGGGATTAGTATGGCGGATTTAATGTGATTTAGCCAACAAAAAAGGAGTCAAAAATTGACCTAGCAAAGGTTGAATTCAACACGGAATTAACAAAACTTGGGATTCAACTAGTACAGAAAACTATGATGTGGCTGTAAACCGTTGAATCCATCAACAAAATCTGGTTTTAACTGGTGGTGCTGCAATGACAGCGGGATAGGCGCTGTGTTAAGTACAGCGCTAGATCAAGTAACTATGAGTATGGGGGAAGGGAAGGTCCAATGACAGGTATTGCCAAAGGGTCCTTGGATGTTTTTTGGGTTTTTTTTGGATGATTGTCCCGATCAACGGCTCAGTCCCTGAATTGCTTTGAAGGTAAACATGCAGGAAGTCCTCTGAATGATACATGGTCCACGGTCCTGAAGAAAGTCCTGGGATGATGATTGCTGCTGAGTCACAATGTGCTAAGTAGTGTGCTAAGTTCAGGGGTGATCCCCGAACATAAATGGATGCAAATCCGCTTATTATTCAGATACAATGATATACAATTGGTTGGGTCATATACCATGGTTGTGTCATAACTCATAACAGATATGAGAACCGCAGGATGAATTGATCCCAAAAGAACCATGACAATCTATAGGAAGGGTGCCCTTGAAAAACCGAGCCAAGAATTAGTTCGGGGTTCAATAAGCTCCAAAAATCAGGCCGCAGGATGTTCACAGCTGTCATGGCTAAACATTTCGGAGATTCCTGGGCCCAAGGGCCATGCATGGCCCAAGGAGTTGATTGTCAAGGTGCCAGCTCGCGGGACTGACATTCAGTCTCATTCAATCCTTCCTCCTGCGGGAAATGTTAGCGGCTGGGCTGTAGAAAGCTGGAAGTTTTGAGGTCAAAGGTGTTTGTGGTAGAAATAACATCTAAAAGGTCACAGTCATGGATTGTCCTTACCTGGGGCGTAGACTATATATATATAATACATACGTGTATATATATATATACATATCTGTGTGCGCGCGTGTTTTTGCATGTATGCATATACATATAGATGATATCATGTTGGTTTGCATAATTATGACCTTATATCTTAAGATTTGTTCCCATCATTTACAGTTCGGCAAGTCAGGACACCATATTTCGCCCAACATAAAACAGATTCTGCGCTGATAAGGTCCTGCGCTTCGGGCAGCATGTGCATCTCCACATGAGATCAATCACCGATTGATGCACCCTTAAGATTCCTTGAGTGCAACCTTCTTGATTTTTAAAATGTCCCTCATGTGTTCTTCTTCCCATACCTAGAACCTCGAAGACGGAATACTACGGCGTAATTTGTTTGACTTGTTTGGCTCCGGCATTTCTCTGTTGTTCCAACGGCATTTTTGGAATTCAACTTGGAATGCATTAGTTGCGGTCTGACATCACATTGGCCAAAGATTTTGGTTCATTTCTTCACGTCCATCATTTTGGTCATGCGTAATTCAAGTCAATGAAAGTGGTTTGGCCAAACCGGTGACAGCCTGCTGTTGCAAAACGGTTGTTAGCAGTCCATGATGCTTGACGTTAAGAATCCAAAAAGTATCAAAAAGTACTTACTTTAAAAAAAATACTTTACTTCGTGTGATCCCCACCATGACATTTATACATTTTCTTACTGGCAAATCTTCTGGCATTCTATCTGACATATCTTCTGACATTCTATTTGGCATTCTATCTGGCATATCTTCTGGCATATGATCTGGCATATCTTCTGGCATATCTTCTGGCATCTATCTGGCAAATCTTCTGGCATTCTATCTGGCATATCTTCTGGCATTCTATCTGACATATCTTCTGGCATTCAATCTGGCATTCTATCTGGCATATCTTCTGGCATATATTCTGACATATCTTCTGGCATTCTATCTGACATATCTTCTGGCACATATTCTGACATATCTTCTGGCATATCTTCTGGCATATCTTCTGGCATATCTTCTGACATATCTATCTGGCATATCTTCTGGCATATTTTCTGGCATTCTATCTGGCAAATCTTCTGCATTCTATCTGGCATTCTATCTGGCATATCTTCTGGCATATTATCTGGCATTCTATCTGGCATATCTTCTGGCATATCTTCTGGCATATCTTCTGACATTCTTTCTGACATTTTTTCTAACTTTCTTCTGCACATTCTTTGTCCCATATCTTCCTACATGAGGTCCGGCAGGGAACACTTGGCGTGGATACTCGCGGTTGAGGTCCGGCAGGGAACACTGGGCGTGGCTGGTCGTGGTTGAGGTCCGGCAGGGAACACTGGGCGTGGCTGGTCGTGGTTGAGGTCCGGCAGGGAACACTGGGCGTGGCTGGTCGTGGTTGAGGTCCGGCAGGGAACACTTGGCGTGGATACTCGCAGTTGAGGTCCGGCAGGGAACACTGGGCGTGGATGGTCGTGGTTGAGGCCCGGCAGAGAACACTGTGGATCGCGGGTCGCAGTTGGACGAGGACGACGAGGACGACGAGGACGACGAGGACGACAAGGACGACAAGGATGACAAGGAGGACGAGGAGGACGAGGAGGAGAGGAGGAGAGGAGGAGGAGGAGGACGAGGCAGGAGGAGGCAACTGACATAAAATCTAACAACCCTCACCTGGCAGGTGGGGAATAAACAAATGCCAAAAACCACATTCCCAAGTTACGGCGTAAATTGGCATAATTGCGGCGTAAATTGGTGTAATTACGGCGTAAATCCTCGTAGTTTTGAACGTCTTGAAATCAAACTTTTGATGGGTCTTGGCTTAAGGTTTGGGATGAACACGTTTTACTCTCCCATGTATCATGGTCATCACTGGCTATGAAATGGTGGCCACTGAAGTTCTGGGCCCACAAACATATCAACCGTTCAAATAAAAGGCATTCAACACATAGATTGTAAAATCATGGTTCACTCTCGATCTGGTTGACGGCATTTTTGTTGAGCCACGGCGTGCATTTTTTTTTCGTTTCCAGAGGTGACGGCCAAAATTTCAGCCACAATTGTAAAAAGGGCACTTATTTCAGCCACAAGGTGGATCTAGGTATGGCCTTTTGAATCTTTTGAAACTTCCAAAGAGTATACCCTCTGGTAAACTAACATAGCTATTGAAAATGACCCTTTTATAGTTGATTTACCCATTAAAAATAGTGATTTTCCGTCGTTTTTTGTTAGTTTACCGGAGGGTAATGACCGTTGTGAACATGAATTGTGTCCAGGCGAGGGAGATTGAAAACCATCAACATCGAGATTGTCGAGCCATGCTTACAGGTTTAATGACAACTTCTGTGACTAAAAGCACTATAATTACTGTTTCTCATGAATCCAAACTCTCTATGATGTGGGGAAAGCAATAATAAACCATGCCCCAAATCACCATTTGTGCGGTCTGGTTACCATTCGACATGGGTGGCTGGTTTACGGCATTGTTTTACCCACATGAAAGGATTTCCGAAAGACGTCATTAGCCTCTGGTAAACTATATATATATAATATAACTAAATAACGATGTTCAACGGGTAAATCAACGAACTAAATGGCCATTTTCAATAGCAAACTGTTAGTTTACCAGAGGGTAATGCATGACATAGCTATGGAAAATGGGTGATTTATAGTTGATTTACCTGTAAAAAATGGCGATTTTCCATGTAGCTATGTTAGATTACTAGAGGCATGACATCGCTCATCTTGGACCCTCCTCACAGCTGAAGAGATGGAGACCACAGGTGGCACAGTTTTGCCCGGAACTGTGCATGACGTTCAGCAGCGTTGCCTTGAGCACCGCGGACGGAAATCCCGTGGAAATCTGTCGGAGTCTATGGATCATTTTTTCAACAAAAAAATGGAAATCTTAAGATTGTCAGAGTCTATGGTTTGCTTAATTCATGTTAGCCATGAATAAGCCATACATTATATATATTCCGGTAGCCGCGTACAGCTGGGTGTTTTGTATGCTTCTTGCTCACTTGTTGCCCACTTAGTAACTGGGATGCACATCCAAATTCAAGTTTCTTATTGCCATCCACCTTTAATTAAATTGTCATTCAATGGGTGTATTTCAATGGTGCTCTTATGAGCTTTAAACATGGTTTCCTCCATTGAACATGCCATTTCTACTTTCCTACAAGATGGTGCCCCATGCTTGGCTAGGTTGGTTTAGTTCACTAGGCTAACCAGGATATGGATGATGTAGTTTGATTATATCCCAACTAGTTAGATGTGAAAACATACAAAGAAACATAACTGGTACGACATTCCGTGGTCATGGGTGTACCCCACATCTACTATTATTCTATGCTATCCTAGCCTCACACACACGGCCGCACCCCCCAAGAAACACACACACACATATCTAAAAGTATACATATCTATATGTATATAAGTATATATATAATAAATTATGAATATAATATATATATAATAAATTATGTATATAATATATATATATAATAATAAATTATGAATATAATATATATAAATAATAAATTATGAACATAATATATATATAATAAATTATGTATATAATATATGTATATATATAGTTATTATAATTGATAATGTATATTTCTAAATTATGTATCATTCAGCAGTCATCCCAGGTATGGAAATCACCCTATGCTGCCGGCACTGACGCTGTGGCTCAGTGCGATGATGATCCCATGGATATGGCTGGGGTACCCCGATAGCTGGATGAGTTATAATGGACAATCCTCTTAAAAAGGATTATAATGGGATATGGGGTAGACCCAAATCCTCCATTTTAGATTGGGATTCTCAATTGTCAGCATTTGAAAATGAAAATGTTTGGGGATACCCCCACAAAAAAGGAAACCTCGATATCAGCATTGCTGATGTAACGAGCGTTGAATCCTCCAATCTTTCGGACCCTTGAAGTCCTGCAACATGTCAGAGGCGAAAGGCCACAAGTTTGAGCATGTTTGGAACTTCTGCTCTCGAGGAGTATCTTGATTTCGGGTAATTCAGGTTCAACATTGCCGAACAAAAGACACTAACAACCTTCATTTGCTAAATATGATTGACTTGAAATGGCTTGAATACGGCACATAGAATAATCTCGACCCCCTATTAATAAAGGTCCCCCTAATAAAAAGAATGCCGGCGCTCGGGACCATTTTTTTTAATTGTTTTTCCATTCCGCCTATTGAAAACCAATACTACATGAGCCGAGAATAAATTAACACGCCTCGTCGAGCTTATTAGGGGGCATCCTAGCAGCAATCGAACTTTTCGAGGACTCCATCCGTGTGTGTGTGTGCACACCGTTATCACAAATGGTTCCATTTTCATCTAAAGCAGGGCTACTGGAGCCAATTTGCCTATCCAGTCCAACGAAGCTATGGCAGTACCCGCTTGAACTGTTGAATAAGCGGGCCCGCAATGCCCTCAAGGGGTCAAAAAACATTACTGCTACTGCCACTACGACTGCTACTACACCTACTACCACTCCTTTCGCTACTGCTACTGCTACTGCTACTGCTAGTGCTGCTGCGACTGCTCGTGCTACTGCTACTACTACTACTACTACAACCACTACTACTACTACTACTACTACGACTACTACTGGTAGAATTGTTACTACGAAGCTATGGCATTTCGGTGGATGAGTGGTCTGATCAACCACTGGTACCTGCTTGAACTGTTGAATAAGCTTTTCTTCTCAGGTTGTTGAGGTATATTCCGACAGGTTGGATTTTCGATTTTCCTCACAGTGTGTGTCAATGAAATCGTGCTTGTGACTGTCGGTGCAACTGTCTTTCACATGCAAATAACGCTAGTACTAGTACTAGTAGTGGTAGTCGTAGTAGTAGTAGTAGTAGTAGTAGTAGTAGATGTAGTAGTAGTAGTAGTAGTAGTAGTAGTAGTAGTAATCGTAGCAGTAATAGTAGTACTAGTAGTAGTAGTAGTACTAGTACTAGTAGTAGTAGTAGTAGTACTAGTAGAAGAAGAAGTAGTGGTCGTAGTAGAAGAAGTTAGTTTCTTGAGGTTGAAGTCCCTTAAATAAACAGTCTGAAACAGTCTGAAACAAGTCTGAAAATGCACTAATTATTCGAATGAGACAAGGTCGGGGGGGGGCCGACCGGTTTGCTTTGATGCCTTAAGAAAAAGTCCATGTGCTGCTACTGGGCTTTCTTTCATTCCTTTACTCCTGGCTTCTTTGCCCCCCTTCCACATGTTCCTTTGTCCCTTGGCCAAAGAATACAAACTACAAAATTGGTTTGAAGGGGAAGCATGCTGCATCGAAGGGGCGTCGTGGCAGTTGTGATCATCGTCACGAAGGTAGTAGTGGTGTAATCAGCCTTGCGTCAGTGGTGGAATCAGATTCAGTTCTGATCATCGTCAAGGCGGGTAGTCATTTACACCCAATGCCTCAGTAGTAAACGTCGTGGTCGTAGCATCGTAAGTATCACTAGTAATAGTATCCGTACTAGTAGTACGAGTGGAAGAAGAAGTAGTAGTAGAAGAAGTAGTACTAGTTGTCGTACTAGGAGTAGTAGTAGTACTAGTAGTGGCAGTGGTGGTCGTAGTAGTACTAGTAGTACTAGTAGTACTAGTAGTAGTAGTAGTAGTAGTAGTACTAGTAGTACTAGTAGTACTAGTAGTACTAGTAGTACTAGTAGTACTAGTAGTACTAGTAGTACTAGTAGTACTAGTAGTACTAGTAGTACTAGTAGTATTAGTAGTACTAGTAGTACTAGTAGTACTAGTAGTACTAGTAGTACTAGTAGTACTAGTAGTACTAGTAGTACTAGTAGTACTAGTAGTACTAGTAGTACTAGTAGTACTAGTAGTACTAGTAGAAGAAGAAGTAGTGGTCGTAGTAGAAGAAGTCAGTTTCTTGAGGTTGAAGTCCTTTAAAAAAACACTCTGAAACAGTCTGAAACAAGTCTGAAAATGCACTAATTATTCGAATGAGACAAAGGGAGGGGGGCGCACCGGTTTGCTTTGATGCCTTAAGAAAAAGTCCGTGTGCTGCTACTGGATTTTCTTTCATTCCTTTACTCCTGGCTTCTTTGCCCCCCTTCCACACTAGCCTTTGTCCCTTGGCCGATAATACAAACGACAAAATTGGTTTGAAGGGGAAGAATGCTGCATCGAAGGGGCTCATGGCAGTTGTGATCATCGTCACGAGGATGGTAGTCGTGTAATCAGCATTGTGTCAGTGGTGAAATCACAGTTTCAGTTGTGATCATCGTCAGAGTCTTTCAGGCTTTGCATGTGAAGGTTTGGGGGCATGTAAGGATTTTGTAAGAGTAGTAGCCATTGTCGTCGAACGAGAGAAAAAATATATAATTCGTTGTGCTGCTATGGCGAGGGTAGTGATGGTCGAAGCAAGCGTGGTAGTAATCGAAGCAGTCGTAGATCATGCCAATGCGAGGCAAACATGGCCAAACATAATATGGTATCTTGGTAGCTTCATCATAAGAACTCCTGCAAATTCAAAGAGAATCAGTCATCAGGCAACATAATTTATTACAACAGATAGCGCCACTCTGAAACACCCCCCTAATAAAAAGAATGCGTTCCCAAAATTTCGAATTTTATTATTAGGGGGGGGGAGGGGGGGGGGGCCCGTTTATTAATAGGGGGTAGGGATTAAAAATGGTGGATCTTTCCATGGCTATCTTAAATAACCAGAGGGTATATGTTCATGTCTGTGAGCATGGATGTGTGACATAAATCCCCTTTGTTTGGCCTTTGAGTTGTAACCCGACAAATCAGACCATGGCACAGAAAAACCATACTCCAAACTAACATAGATATGGAATACCATCCGGTAAACGTTTACATAACTATGGGAAATCACCCATTTCAATAGGTAAATCCACTATTTCTATGGCAATATTCAATAGCTATGTAACAAATTATCAGAGGCTAGTTTTTCTGGAACACGGATATGGAATCCAATCCAATCATCATCCTGCTGGCAGATACATCATGCACCGATTGGATCCTTTTTTGGGCTTTGAATATTGAAGAACAACCTATAACCTCTCAACAGCACATGGTATAATCTGATGTGATATAACTTAAACATGCTTAAACATACTTAAACCAGCTTTTTGAATTTATGATTGGGTTTACCACACTACATCTTGAAATTGTCCCGATAATAATCTCACGACCAGATGACTTCAGGGATTGGCCACCCACTTTTGTTGGGGCTTGGAAGACGACGGTCTCCGAACATGGAATCGGCAATTCTCAGGGTCTATGTCTATGTGTTTTAACATAGCTATGGCTACGGAAAATCACCATGTTTCAGAAGTAAATCATCGAACTAAATAAGCCATGGCTTCCATGGCGAACTGTAACAAATTACCAGAGGGTAGTTTGGATTGTAATAAACTACATGGATATCATGGATCTTCTGTAGCAGAGAAAACCATCGCGCAAGTCGTCCAACGTGTGGCCGATGACAGGGCCGAGTCATGGCCATCAAAGAAGGAAAATGTTGGCTCACACTGAGGCTGGCACCAAAATCATGCTCTTAGTTGTTGTGCCTGGCATGTTGGCTGACTCTGTGATCTGCACACGGAAAAAAAGCTTGGAGAAACTCTGAGTGGCTCAGGAACGTTTGATCTTTGGAATTTCCCTTCTCTCCTATCTAAACTCTGTAACTCTGTACATGATCAAAGTTCTAAGAACGAATTCCAAGCTCTCTAAGTCTCTGCTTAATCAAAGTTCTTCAAAAAAATCCAGTTGCAACCATCCAACAGACCACATTCCCTTAAAATGATTCGCCAGCCCGGGCACGAATGTTCCATTCTTTGTCACTGGATCCAATCCAAAAAACCGCTTAGCGATCCTGCTCCCCGCTCCGCCGGTCCAGCCTCCACTTTGGAGGGTAGAGAGTGACACACGCATGTATTCCAAGGAGAGTTGGGCCTCCAGTCACCACAGTCACCAAAAAGTCACCACGGTCGCCCTCTTGCTTGAGATAGTGCGAGATGGTTTCACTAAAAAGCTCTCCAAAAAAAATGCATCTGCATATGTTAAAAAAACACAGAAACACTTGTCCCAAAGCCTAGAAGTGGTTGAAGGGAACATCTAGAGGAACCCCCAGCAAATTTGGAAGTAACAACCATGGTTTCAACCGAAAATGGTCCTCTTAAACCCATAAACCCAATTTTGTGGATGGTTTCATTCCCCACCTGCCAGGTGAGGGTTGTTAGATTTTATGTCAGTTGCCTCCTCCTCCTGCTCCTCCTCCTCCTCCTCCGCCTCCTCCTGCCTCGTCCTCCTCTCCTCCTCCTCCTCGTCCTCCTTGTCATCCTTGTCGTCCTTGTCGTCCTCGTCGTCCT